GGGGAATTCTGGGAGTTGAAGTCCACCCCTCTTAAAGCGGCCGAGGTTGAGAAACACTGCGCTGTCTCGCCTCCTCTAGAATCAGCTGATCTTCTCTTGCTCCCGAAGCCAGCAATTCGGAGCGGAGATCAAAGTAGGGCATCTCAGGGCTGGGAGGGACCTCCCTAGGCCATCCGATTGAGTTTAGAAGGGGGGTGGAAAACTCCCTTTGCGTGCCCTGGCATCAGCTGACCCTGGCATTAGCTGGGTTGGGTCGCAGTCCATGCCAGTCACCAGCAGTGTGGGTGGGATGAGGTCAACGGTTGTATTTTTAGCCAGGACGTGCACATTCCTCTCCTGTAACCACATCTGATCTCTTTTTTGCGTCTCCCAGTCTTCACCATGGGGTCGAGAGGCGGAGAGAATTGGGCTGGCACCGTGGAGTCTTTCCGCTTGTCCCCCACGGCGTTCCTCTTGTCCCACGGAGCCGGGGACACCTTTACAGCCGACCTGTTGAACGAACTCCGGAACGAGCGACTGGGGGAGGCAATCAAGGTATACGTACCCCCTCGATTTAGGCTGCCCGTGTGATACCCCTGAAACTGGGCAATGAGAAGAGATGCAGTTTTTCACAGTTAGGGTCTTGCATGGCACTAAGCTATGGTTTGTTTAATTAGGGCTTCTTGGACCAAGGGAAGTTGACTGGGCTGAGAACCCTAAATCCTGGTTTACAATCTACAGGGCTTTGTAGATCAATCAGCTTAGGACTTTGCAAACTGAGTCTGAAGTTATGGCTTTAGTGCGAACCCAACCGATGTGATTCATTGATAAAAGCACATTTTAAACGGCAACATTCATCGAAGGGCATATGGATTTTTAATTTTTTTTTCTGGCATTGACTGATTTGGCTTCTAATTGGTTATTAGAAGAAGGCATTCAGTGATTTTTTTTTTTAAATCATACCTCCCAAAGGAAGGTCATTCATTTGGCCAAGGAATTCCAAATCGGAGCATGCACGCACTAATCTGTACCCACAGTTGCACAAATGTGGAAAACTTTGTTGCTGTTTTTTATATATATAATTTTTGTTAAGAGTTTTTACATAGAAACATGGAAAACATCGAAGTGTATCAGTATTTCTAGCTAATGAAAATTTTTTTCCTATCCACAGCTGTGTTCCCACAACATATAAAGCTTGACATTCATTTTGCAGACAAATTTTCAGTAGATCGCTCCTGTTACTGATGATCAGCACGTGGATGCTTTATGTAGGGAGATATTTTGGCTTTGTTTTTAATACTTTATTATATGAAATTAACAAAGTAAGTGTGTGTGCACACAAAGCTGGGTTTACAGTGTGACAGAACATTAAGATTAAGGGGGGGGGGCAAAGTAACACCCCAAAACCCCACTTACCAAATTGTTTGAAAAATCTTCCTTAGTGCACCATATTTTTTCCAAATGCAAAAAGCTTGAATTCTTAATATGGGGATAGATTCCAAATACTAAATATATAATCAGGAAGAACTGAGGTGTCCTTCAATGCAGAAGGAGGAGGCGCCTTGGAAAAGACCCAGAGCTCGAGAGGGGGGCAGGGCCAGAAATCTTTAGGGGACACAACTCACGTCCCCTTTTCACCCCACCTTCTCCAAATCCGCTGAACGAAGGTGAAGCGGACGCATCCGACGCTTGGGGGTGAATGGCTAATTTTCCTTTTTTTATATATCTATAATTCCCATTGAAACTTTTTACATACTTAAAAGACAAACAAGAAAGAATATCTAAAGAGAAAGTAGGAAAGGTGCTAAAAACAAGACAGAACAAGACAGGTTGCGTGAAGTAAAAGGATTCATTTTTACTCCACGCGCAACATTTTGCTGTAGGGGCTGTTTGCAAAGGGACGAAGCTGGATCGTGGCCTGTCCAGGGCGATAGGGGGTCCCGTCTTTGTGGCCTCCTGTTATTCCCTGCCATCTTCCCCTGACAGCTGTTCTTCTGTCCTGCAGCTCTCGATGGTGGCTTTATTCTTGGAATACCCCACTCTGCTGTGCCCCGATGCCAAGACGGGTCAGGAAGCCGCAGCGTCCCTTCTCTCCCTCTTCGCCCAGTTGAATCTCTCTCCCAAGCACATCAGCCTCCGGTGCTCCCTGCTCTTCGCAGCGGAGACAGTGCTGGTGGTCACTGACAGCCTTGCTGAAGACTGCCCAACCTCGCACGAATTGCTCTCCGTGCTGCTCCATCTGGTTTCTGACCTCAACGACGGGCGCGGGGCAGCGGCCGAGCGGCCGATCCGCGCCGCAGCTTGCGAGTGCCTGCGAGAGCTGGAATGCTGCTACTGGGGGTTCCTTTTGCACCGCCTGGAGGTCCTACGGTCTTTGCAACGACAGGAGGTGTCTGGGGTCCACCAGGGTTACACGCTGCTGTACAGCGTGGCCCTGCGAAATGCGGTCCTGCTCCTGGCCCAGAGTGGACAAGGGGGCATTGGGGAACTTCTTGCAAGCAACGGAGACCTGATGTGGGAGGCTACGAAGGAAGCGGGCAAGATCTCGCCCACTAGCATCGACCAGCTGGTTCTCTTGCCCTCCCCTGCTGACCTCAAGGAGCTGAAATTGGTGCTTGCGACGTTACTGGACAACAGCTATCTCTTGACCCCTGCAGCCCAGAGCCATTTGTTGTGGCACCTAGCTCAGGCTGTGAGCGTGGTACGCACCCAGTCGCCTGCTATTTTCAAAGCCCAGCTGGCGCGTCTCTTTGGCACGGCCAGCGTGACGCTCGAGCACGCCATCTTGCAGCTGAAATCACTCTTCACTGACAGCCTGTTTACCGCCGAGGATGAGTCCTTCCTCCTGCGACACCTGGTGGGACTGGCGCAGCACCCAGCTCTCCCAGAACCCGTGAAACTTTTCCACCTGGATTGTCTTTTGCACTTCCCTGAAAACCGCCCGCTGGTCTCGGGAACCGACGAGAGACTGCCGGTTCTGCTCACGCCGCGTGCTACGTCTGGTCTTTTCCCCGGGTTCTTCCAAGACCAGGGTACAGTCCTGGCCCGGATGAATTTACTGTGCCTCGTGTGCGTCGAGAGCACGGGACCCAGCGCTGAACGTGGGGCAGGTTACCTTCTGGAGCACGTCCTGGCCCTCGGAGGGCTCGTTGCCCGAGGGGGAGGACCGGACGCCACACGGCTTTTTTTCCAAGCGGCCTTTATTTTTGCCCAATATTTTGGCTCGCAGGCACAGCCCATGGCAGAACTGATCCAGTGCCTGCTGGAACTCTACCGTCACCATTGCACCTTCGCCCCAAACCTCATCAATCTGTTGGACGAGACGTGGAAGACACTGGAAGAGTCCAGCTGGGCTAAGACCCTCGCCCGGGCCTTGCAGGAATTCATTGTGAGCGTCCCCTTGCAAGAGGAAGACCTAGGTTGGCATCTCAAGATTTTGGCCCGGCTGGCAAAGGAGAAAGATGTCCCTCAGGCAAGCACCATGCAGTTCTTAGCTCGCCTGGTCGCCTCGGGCAAGCTTGGGGACTGGCGCACAGGGCAGGTCCTCCTGAGCGTTTGCCGTAACCTGATGGTGCTTCATCCGTCACCTCCCCTCTCCCAGCTGGCAGCCCTCCTGCACGCCATCTCCCTCAGCCACACGGACGTGGATGTCCAGGACCGGGCTCGCTTCTATTATACGCTCCTCACCAACCTTTCTGGTGAAAAATTGAGCTCCGTGCTGGCCCCGGAAGGTCCCGTCAAGACTCGGACGCTCTCCTCTTCCATTGTAGCTGACAGCGAGAGCTTTGTGGCTGCCCTGACGGTCCACCCTGTGGAGCCAGCCCCACTGAGGCTGCAGCGGGTCGAGATTTCTGGGGATGCTCCTCCAGCGCCTCCCGCTGAGCAGGAGGTAGACGGGTACTGCCAGTGGTTGCTGGCAGCCCAGTCTCCCTCACAGCTCAGTTTGGCGTACCAGCTGGTCCACGCAGGGCCTGGCACTCCTCCCTATGACTTTCTCCTCTGCGTGGTGCTTCGTTTCACGTGCTCCAGCCGCCATTACGAGCCGGTGCCTGAACTCCGCATTCCCTGCCTGTCCGCGCATCGCCCGTCCCCGACGGTGAGGCTGACGCTGCAGCCGCGTTGCCCGTACCCCACGCGGCTGAACGCTTCTGCCCTGTATACGACGCAAGATGGACTGACTCGCTGGAGTCAGCTGGAAACCCTTGAGGTGGGCTTCCCTGACCTCTTTCTGCCTCTGCCAGTCCCCACCTGGTCTTCGGAGAAACTTCACCAGCTTTTCGATGCGCTCTGGCAGCGCCTGCACCCCGACGTGGAAGAAGCACATGCCGAGAGCCTCACCGTCTGGCCGCTCCCACCCCAATCCTTGGAGGGGCTGGTGCGGGACCAGTTTCACAGGTACATCCTGGTTGAGCAAGCAAACAGCTACAGCATCGTCTTGACTTTGCCACCGCGGTATCACATCCTGTTACAAGTGCAGAGTGTGGAAGATGCCGCCCGGGTGAGCATTCGCACCGACAACTGGAAGTTGCTACCATCGCTTAATCACTATCTGCAGAGCCTGGTGAAAGCCAGCTGATGACGCAGCCCTCCTGGGCGGGGAAGGAGGCACTGGTGGGCACAGGACCCCTTGCCACCCACTTTGGCACAGAACTCTCACATTCTCAGGGACCTTCTCAATAAAATTTGTCTTTTGCAAGCCCAGTGTGGCCAGTGGAACGGGGAAGGGGAAGATGTTTTGGGCAGCCCCGTTGAGCATTCGGGGAACCATAAAGATTTGATCGAGGCAGAGAGAAGCAGGGGTGACCTGCAGTGGCCAGAACTACAACCCACATTAACCCGGGTTAATGGAGGGCCCGATTCACACAACATGCTAAGATGGGCTGCGCTCCCACCACATCTGAATAGACACCCATATCACTCTCAGATTAATGTGTTATGCAAACTCAGGCCTATATAAGTTCCAAGGAAAGCTGTTGATGTAAAGCAGTGTTTTTCAATCTTGGCCACTTGAAGATGTGTGGACTTCAACTCCCAGAGGAGTTGTGTGGACTTCAACTCCCTTGCTGGCTGGGGAATTCTGGGAGTTGAAGTCCACACATCTTCAAGTGGCCAAGATTGAAAAGCACTGATTTAGAGGTTTTTTTTAATCTTCCGGAGCTCGGGGCAGCATAAATAGTGTTCCCTTCCGCCATTTCCCCCCACAACAACTCTGCGAGGTAGACTGAGGTGAGAGAGGGTGACTGGCTCCAGTTCAGGTGGACTTGAACCCGTCTCCCACTGCACCCCTCCCCCAGCTCTTGGGCTAAGGGGGAGGGACTGGCCCAAATACCATCCAAGGATTAGACGCTGAACCATGGTTTGCTGCGTTGAGAAACTGGGCTGGGTTCAACCACGAAACTAAACTGCGATTGGCTAGTTTGTGGATCCACAGCTGGCTTTGCCCAACTTTAAACCCAGGCGATCAGAAACACCTGCGTGTGCCCGCGGCGGGAATCCAGCCCGCTGGCTGAAGGTGACCCATGCATCTTTTCCATAACAGGACTCACGGGTGCGATGCTGCCGCAGGGTTCCTGGGCAGATCCTGGCTTAGCCCCCCAGCCAGTCCCTCACCCATCATCCAGCCAGACCCCTGACAACCCCCCCAGCCATAACCCCAGCCAGACCGCCACCCAGTCCCTCAGCCATTATCCAGCCAGACCCCTAACTAGCCCCCCGGCCACCCCTCAGCCACACCCCAAACCATAACCCCAGCCAGACCGCCACCCAGTCCCTCAGCCATTATCCAGCCAGACCCCTAACTAGCCCCCCGGCCACCCC